TTTTATTTTTTTTTTGTTTTTGTTTAAGTAAGCCCAAAGGCAGTAGATAATTCTCATTTAGCACTAATCAGCTTTGCAACCTAATTGTTCATTTAAGATAATTTATTTAAATTTAATCCATACTTTAAATTCAACAGAATTTATGTCATCAACGAAATTCGAGTTCATAATTTAAAATAAAAGGATATTACTGCAGGATAGTTTGCAACGTTGCTCTGTAAATCTTCCTTCAGTATATCAGTGCTAGTGGCAATCTACTGATAAGTTTGAATTTTCGCTTCACTGAAGGTATTTCATGTCAAGTGATATAGCCCTGAGTAACCTGACTAATTAGTGTAATGAATGTATAGCTTGCCAGATGTACACAGGATAATTTGACAAGTCTCAACAATCGACCATCCCCTCTATCCCAGCAATCTCAGGATCATCCCACACGAAACTTTTCATTTGAGTTAGAACCACAGCCTGAAACCATTCCAGAAAATCCATCTTTCCCCACATTTAAAGTTGTCCATTTTTCTTTTTACAACTTGGTTTTGTGCATGGCCCAACATGTCTTCGTCGATATAACGATCACTAGGATTGCGAAAGTAGGAACACGGCCCGAAAGAGGCTGGGCCAAGGAGAGTAACCTTCGCCAAGAGCCTTATCACATCCATCCCTCAACAGATCGATCCTCCATCCCGTCTCTTGCGCCACATGTCTTCCTCTTCCCCAATCTCCCCACGACCAAACAATCGTCCCCTTTCTCCTTCCATCCTTTGGGATTGGCACCGATTCCCCTCCCTTTCCTCACCCTCTGTTGTGCTACTGCTTCTGCTAACATTGCAGTTTGATATATTTATCATTATAGCCTACCCTACCATTGCCACCATACCATACTTGCCCACCAGCCTGTTCCTTTTACTTTACCCACTTCAACAGTCTACTTTTACCTCATCCATTACCTTACCTGTCTATCCTATCCATAATCTCTTCCAACTATTCTACCTGCCCACTTTGACATTAATGCGGCCGACATAGTCATCCCTTTTACAAAGACTATATGCCACGCACATTTTTGTTCCTGGACTTATATTCTATACCAGGTAATTTCCTGATATTTCCATATATCACCTGTCTTATGACTTATATTAATCACTTTTTCTTGGTACACGGGTGACGATATTCTAGCCCTTTGACCGTACTATTTGGTGTTTTAGTTCAATGATATGCATTCCAACAGTTGTCCATCTATCTTTTCATTAATGACTTTTCTGTCTACACTGTTTATATTGTTTTATTTGGTCACTAACTTAGCTTATTCATTTATCCATTTTTGTTTTTTTTTTTTTGTTAGAAAAAAACCTTTAATAATACAAAAATGTCATCATTTCAGGTCGCTGTTGAAAGCTTAGAAGAAGCTAATTTGTAAAATTAAGAGAATTATAATCAGTTGGGATCATTTTTAAGTTTTCCCTAAATATTTTATTAATAATTGCTTTAAATTGCTGTATTTATTTTTTTTAAAAATTATCCTGGTACTAATTATCAATAATTATTAACGATTGTTAATTAACTTGAGAACACTGTAATCTGATGGATTGATCGTCTCTCTTGCTGATAGAATTATTCAAAGATTAGAAATATTTTTAAGATTAATTTGCATAATTTCAAATATTAGTTAACATGCTATGGAATAAATGTATTGTATAAGTAACGGTAGAAGTGAAGGCGGGGGAACCGAGAGAGGAGAGAGCGGAAAAGATTGAGAAAGAGTGACAATTTGGTGGGAAGTATTTGGTTGCTGTGCAAACATTATGTATGGATTGGAGACTGAATAAAAAACCTGTTTGATGTATTGGGTTCTGTTTGGGTAAGTTTCTACCTTTTACTTACCTGAATTCTCCAGAACGTCTGTATTAAAACACTCCGTCCTATCCTAATAATATCTTTCCTTTCCTGTTCCTCTTCCTCCCTCTTATATTTCCCTTTTTTCCACTCCTCCTCTTCATAATACTTCCTTCAAGAGTTGCTTGGGTTTTGCCTATGCAGTTGTCTCTTTATTTTTCTCATGTTTCTCACATGCTTAAAAAAATAATTTAAAAAATAGGGGAAGGGAGAGAAAGAAAAAGAAAGAAAAAGTGAGAGAATACAGCCAAAAATTATGTACCATAATAAATGCGACAAACTGATATGTGACAGATAGTAATTCTCGTCACAAGTCTAATTTGTAAAATGCCATCATCATCTACTGGAAGCAGACTTGAAAGGTAAGATATTATGCCGGGGGGTTTTTTCCACCTTAACTAATTAATTGGACGACTTTAGACAAGGAATGACTTTCAAATTTTCAATGTTAATGCATTCGTTTCTATTTCAAGAGGTCATTTCCTGATTTTTTTTAAATTTAAAAAAATTTAAAAAATTAAAATTAGAATCAATTTTAAATTTAAAATTAAACCTAACCTGTTGAATGCAGTCTTATTGATCTTCCAATAGACTTCTTGACCATCGCTTCAACATGAATAAATTCTGTAATTAATTATCGGAATAATGCAACGATCCCTTTTGCTTCCCCATATAGTACTTATGTGAATATTCCTTTTGTGATTACTCACTTCTTCATTAAATTTATAATTCTGTATAATTCTCAAATTTTATATGCAAAATAATATACTAACATTTCTATCGTACAGTTGTTCTCTATTGAAAAAAAGAAGGTTCAAATTATGCAGATGCAGGTGAAGTGAAATGATATGAAATGAGATTATGATGCATTTCAATTGAAATAAAATATTCAAATTTATTTAATTGTTCTTTTTCCCCTTTTTTTTTTCCCAACAAACCAATTTGTTGGATTGCTTTATAAAATTTTTAACATTAAAAAAAAATTATAATTGCAAATTTCTCGTTTTTTTTCCCTCTCTTCCTCCCTCCCTCTCTCCCTTCCTTCCTTCCTCTCTTCCTTCCTTCCTTCTGCTTCCTTCATATGCATCGTTGAAAATTGGTGATAATAAATGCTATGTTGTTGTTTTGTTTTTCGTCATGCTTATTACTGATATTTTGTTATCATAGTGATTGTTAATGTTGTTGTGTGTTCCATCTACTGGTTGTTTAATTGAGGAAAGGAAGAATTCTCTTGCTTTTTCTTGCTATCTTTTGGAAACGAATCGCACACATCACCATCCAAATTATACATACACACACACACACACGTACATACATACATACACATATGCACACACACACACACACACATACACACACACACACATACGTACGTACACGCCATATGGTGACATTTTCATTTCATTTCATTCCATTTCATTTTGTTCTTTCGACATTTCCTACTTAGACTGCAATTCTCCCGTTTTCCGTCTTATTGTCGCTGTTGCTGCAAATATTGCTACATCAAAAGGGAACCGAATGATTTCTAAGTTCGATGCTATCAGATGATTTGAAGAAAGGAAAAGTTATTTACAAACATTTTCATTCTGAAGAGTGATGGATGGATGGATGGTAAAGGAAGAGACGCATTCGTTTAGAGGAAAAAAATGGAACGAATTATAATAGAAGTTATGGATTTTCGCTATTTTAGTATGAAATTCCTTGCAGTATTTCCAAAGAGATTATTGGTTAATTTTATTTTGCAAAAAAGTGACTTAAATTTTAAATATCGTTCCTCTTATCGTACTTTTTTTTTCCTATATCAAAATTAGTTAGAAAATGAGCGCTGTTGGTTTGGTTGGTTAATGATGATAGAAAAAATTCTATCATTTAGTTGCGAAATTTTGCGTAAATGATAAATGGATGAAAATAGTATATCATTTATTAGAAGTGTCAAAATATAGAGTTTTTGCGCGAGAAGGTGACCGCAGAATGCCATCCTTTTACAGTAACTGTTTAACGTTCCAAACGATTTCTAAAAAAGTAAGATAACGGACATCTTTTCAGTTTAACTGAAAAACTTTTCCTTTTTTTATTTCTTAAAAAATAATGATAATGATGATAAGAAGCTAAAAAGTTCGGGAAGAAAAATATGAAAGGTACATTTGACAGGTATGTAATGAAAGTTGAAAGTTAAAGAGTAGATTGAAGTAATTAAGTGTTGTGGAAGTTTTTTTTTTCCATAAAATTCCTCAAAATCCCGGGTCATTTGATGACGTAACATTTCATTCCCGTTTTTATCATATGCAAACATCGAATTGAATGAAAATTAAAAATCGATGCTAGCAAATGTTTTTCCATACTCTTTACTTCTCTTATTCGTCCCTCTATTTGCATATGTCTGTGTATGGGTGTGTGTGTGTCTGTGTGTGTATGTCTCTGTGTATTTGCATACACACTCCGACACACATACACAGTTCAAAAACAAGAAGGTAATTTGTACCTGTCGAGAACTGTTTTAAAAGGAAGCATGACAAAAAAAAAGAAAGAAAATACTGACAAAGTAATGATAAACAACAGAGCGAAAGGGAACGATTACTTTACGTACATTACGTACATTACCCTTTAAAATGTGAAATTGATGGATCTTTTTTTTCCCTTCAAATTTTAATCAGATACACTTCTATCATTTTGTGTATCTTCTCCCATCGTTGTTTACTTCTGCCAGGTAGTTAATTAGGTAATTAGTTTTTAATCGAAATCAAAAGAAAGTCCAATCAGAAAACTTTTCTCCTTCCTTTCCATCTCCTTAAAAATAATGATAATGATAGTAAGTTGATTATTCGAGATAGTTAATTAGTAAACTGTATCTAAATGATTTGATTGCAATTTTAAATTACAACTTCTTTTTAAATCAAACTATAATAATGGTTTTTTCCTTTCTTTTATTGAAATTTATTCTTACAAATATTTACTTCTTTTTTAATTAAAGATTTGAAAGGATAAATATTGGCATTTTTCCCTCTCTTTCCTGTTTTCTTTCCATCTCTGCGAAGCTATCTATGACTTTCCCTTCACTAACTTAGAAAAACTTTTCTCCTTTATTCTTTAGATTTCAATTTTTTTCGTTTCATATTTATCATCAATGATGTTATATGTATATGATTAGCTTAATTAAGTCAGAATCGATGATAGTGTAACGACTGAGCTATTGCACATGTTGAAGAAGACATGAACATGAGTAACTGCTATCACTGTTAGATAAAATAGCTACTGATTATCACCATCATTACCTGGGTTAGATCATAAGATTAGATTCAATCTCGATAATGTTTGCTTTCTCAATTCTTAATTAATTTTAGTCATCAGTGCCATTTTGTAAAAATGTTTGTTAGTTAATTGCAATATCGTTAACTGTTTCACCTGCCTTTTGTTGATTCATTGGAGGTTTTTATATTGAGGTGATTTCCTTTACAACTATTTTGTTTTCAATACCCTTTAAATTTCAGGCGTATTCAAGTATTAGTTCATTTGGTACTTAATTATTTCCCTATTCAATTTAAAACTCATTTGTTTTGCTTTTTAGTACATTTTTGGCTCAGTCAGTTTAACTTTAAAAAGCAAATGGTTCAATTTTAAATTTTAAAAGCACTTTTTTCCTGTTTCAAATTACTTGCTTTTGCATCTCCGCGAGCTGCACTACTTAATCACCATCATCAGAAATCATCATCGTCATTACTGTTATCACTGTCGTCATTATCGTTATTATCATTATTGCCATCGCCATCGTGGTTATCGTTGCGGGAAATCTTTCAATTTCTTTTCCTGCAGCAAGTATTTCGGTCATAATAAGCAAAGGTTGGTTTAGGAAATGTAATTCCCTCAGTCACTCTATCTTTCTCTTCCCCCTCCTCTGTCATTCGCGTGTTCACTTTCTTGCAGGCATTTTCTTGGAGAACAGATTTATTAATGCTGTCAACGTCATTGATGATGACAATGATGACGACGACGACGAGAATGACGATGACGATAATGATGATGATGAGGATCACGCTATGTTTGTGGCTCCTCTTTCTTTCTTTCTCTCAAGCTTTGTTATTTCTGCCCTCTTTCCTTCTTCTTTTTCATTCTGCTCACAATTTTTTCTCTTTTTCCATGAAAGTCATTTTCCCATCGTTTCTTATTCTTTGATGATGCTCTCTTCTATAGCAATTCTCACTCGTCTTCTACTCCTTCTCCCTCTTCCTCCTTCTAACCTCTTCCTTTCCCAACCAGGAAACCTATTTTTTGAAAACTTTTTTCCCAACAGCTGCTCTTCCTCCTCGTCATCTCTACCCCATCCCACCTCACCTCACTCCCCCGCCTCTTACCTTACCCTTTCTCCCGGCATATGTAACATTTGGTTTCTTGAGTTTCTTTTCCCGGCTAATATTATCAAATAACAAATTATTTGTTATATGAGTTGTTATCAGTTGCACCTGTGGCACCATTGCTATTCTTATCAACGGATTCGTTGCTTCCTTCATCTTCGTTTTTCCTCATAACTTTATCACTTCTAGTTTACATTTAAATGAATGTGTTTCTACCATACAATTGATTTGCAATGTAAATAAGGAAATTACAGGTCCTTTTAATAGCAAACAAGTGGTTCATTTTCTGGATCATTTATCAATACAATCATATTTACATGGCATTTTTATTTTTGATAATACCATTTTCACGCCACGATAGCACTGTGTATCTTATGGATCATTTTTAAAAGCTCCGAGTATTTTACGATTTCATCGTTATTGACGATCTGTGTTTGTACTGCATTTGTGATCGTTTCAGTTATTCGTATTTTGGAAGGAAGGTGCTGATTGTTGTTATCAGTGATTACAGGGCAATGGACCTGGGAGAGGGAATGTGCATGGTATGTGGCGATCGTTCGGCTGGTAAACACTATGGCGTGATGGCATGTTACGGTTGCAAGGGCTTCTTCCGGCGAACCATCCGTTCCGGACAGTCATACACCTGTCGTTTTATGCAAAAATGTTCCATTGATAAAGGTTAGAATTGTTCACGTATTTGAAGAAACGATGTAATTAGCGACGGTATAATAAAGTTCTACTCAGTAAAAACACGGTTTTTGTTCATTACTTTCATTTTTTAGACCAACGTAATGCTTGTCGATTTTGCCGATTTCAACGATGTCTGGAAGTAGGCATGGAACCTGATGGTAATACTTTGTCAATTGTTTATGTTCCTTTCAAGTTAGATAATTTTTAAACGTTCCAATAAATGTATAACCTTTGTGGAAACTATAAAACATTGGAAGTTAAAAGACCATTCTCTGTCACATCAGTGATATATATCGCATTGTGCTGGTTATTCAGAGAGTAGAATATGTAACAGCAGTGTTTAGTGTTGCTTCATATTTTATCAGTGACAGCATTGAATTTGATGCGTTATTATTGTACTAGATAAGTATTTGTCTTTTTCCTCGTATTGGATAAATCTTCTATCTTCATATTCCAGCAATTCGCCCTGACCGTGATATTATCGGGAAGCAGAAAAATCCACGGCGAAAAAAGCTGAGACGTGAAGATAGTTTGTTGCCATCACCGGGGGCTGACTCGCACTGGTAAATTGTTTTTTTTTTTTTTCTAAAAGGTTCATATCATCCAGCAATGATATATAACATATGAAACACGTAGTGCGTACATTGGTTGCAATGGTAATACTGGTCATATATCGTATATTAATGTGTTTTTCAAATCATTTAGTTAAGTCATGTGATGTTTAATGTATTCTGAGCAGAATTAAAAGTCTCATGCAAAATTAAGGAGAAATCAGCTCTCCTTTTCGCTTCCCCACCCTTTTTCTTTTATGACAGTCCTATCGGGTACTGTTTTTAGTTTGTTCTTTTCTGTTGGACCTCTGCAAGACGACAATTTTATGTTGGACCAAATTGAAAACTTTGTTCCAGACAGCGTAGATTAGACATAAGGCAGATATATTAGATATAAGCATTATTATAATAATTGATAAGAAATCCTGTTGTTCAGTCTGGATAATAGCACTATTAATCTTAAGTGAAGCATTCAAAGTCTTGTTTCAAAATTGCAGAGGATATCTCAGAATTTAAAGGAAATTGTTTTTGTTTCACTTCGAAGAATGTGAATTTCAGTTCGCAACAAGAAGATGCCTTACTTACCTACCTCCTTGACACCGAGCTGCAAGCAATGAGCTCGATCAAACGGCTTTCGGTGGCAACACCGATTGGAATTGCGAGGGTCAAAGCTGATCCAGATTTGGAATTGAGTGGAATTTTCCAGAATAAATACGTTCTAGATAGCGATCGTTTCGATGTAAGTTTTATTATTGCAGGGTCCTTATTTTACCAGAATAGGGATAAAAATAAATATAAGCATCTGTTATATGGTCTGAACTCTCTTTTATACATGGGATTATTGAATAAGTCTACTGATGGTATTCTCATATGCAGTATAAACTAATAAAGCGCATGAAATGACGACATATGAACTTGAAAATACTTATAAGTATATATTCCTAAATTATATCTAGTTCTGCAGATGTGTTATGAAGCAGGACGTACGGCGACAGTAGAACAATTATCCCAAGCAGTACGACGATATATCGGTGCAGCAGTTGATTGGATTGATGCGCTGTTCTCACTCGTCAGTCTGAATGAATGCAATGAAAAAGTAGGGATATCGATAATCTATTATTGGGATATCAGTAATAAGATATCGATAATGTTCATTTTTCTAAATACGAAATTCGTAATTTACTTTCGGGAATATTGGCCGAATTCGAATGGAACATTAGTTAACTGATTAAATCAACTTTTCTAGTAAACAAATGACATCATGTATTAGGTACTATTTAAGGAAGAATAATATAGTGCTTTTTAATAATATAGTGCTTTTTCTTACTTCAGTACATTCTGAGTTGCATTCCAGATACCGGGAAAAGTTTCTTTTATCTATCGCGAGGATTGGCATACTGAATAGGAGAATCACCTCTGAGGAAAATCTTCATATAAGTTTATATGGCATGGCAAACTTCTAGGACTAGTTAAATTGGAAAAGAATATAAGAACAAGGGAAAAGTGTATGCAATATACATCATTTGTGAAAAAAAAAGGGTTTATGAATTATGAATGATGAGAATTACACTATACAAAGATATTTGTCGAAAAAGTTTGAAGATATGATGAGGAATGTATAAATGTAAACAGGAGAAAATACAAAAATAAATTCAAAGGAGGCTAAACATTATATATATATATATAGATAGATAGATAGATAGATAGATAGATAGATAGATAGATAGATTTGGGAAACGGGTGAAAAGAAAATGTATAAATTAGAGATACGGGGTGCACAAAAACATATAAATTTAAATGTTCTGTTCGGCAATCAAATTCACTTTACAGGTTTTTGTGCTGAAAAGTTCATTTGCTGCATTTTGTGCATTCACTCAAGCTGCGCGAACGGCACAAGCGACATCCGATCCAGATTTATTGTGCTTGTGCAATAGAACTGTGATTCCGCGACAAACACCTAGACATTTGCTTGAGAATAAGTAATACTTTTTGTCATGGATAATTCAGAATTCAATGAGGACAATATGCTTTAGTAGTTATGTGTATCTTGTAGAAGAAGAGAACTGAGGAAGAAAGATATCTTTTATGTTCTTTTCTCTCATTCTGTCTTTTTTCAATTTCGCATATTTTTTTTAATTTTAATTTTTAGTCGTAGTGGAAGTTTTCAAGATCTACGAAAAAGCATTTGCTCTTCTTTTCCAGTTATCCAAAACCAGCTGTCTAATAAATTGCTGCAGTTCATCTGCTAAAGTATTCGTCGTGAACTTCATAGTCTGGCTGGGAAACGTGATTGTAAATTTTTTAGGGCCTTTACTGGAGCAACGAATTAATTCAATAGAAAAGGAAAGGGGTAATTACATTCCATAAATGTGAATATAAGTGTGTGTAACAGATGTCGTAATGATCAATAAGTTGTCAGAGGCAGCTGTTTCACGGATAGAAGAATTATTTTTTTCTAAAAATTGCTTTTCAAAAAGGGGACTTTGTTAATATTTTCTAATTACATCTTTCACATTAAATGTGAGGAAAAAGAACGGAGTAATGTCCTGATCTTTCGAATTCAAATGATAAATTGCTGTGATGCAGTCCTTGCTGTTGACTGCTTATAAATTCACGTTACTTTAATATTATTTACTGTTTGCCCTATGGAAAACAGTTTCTGTGTTTCTGAGTTATGATTTGGTGTGCGCTAGGAATCACGCAATCTCGGAGCAGTGATCTTGAGTTTCTTCTTTGAAGGGGTCTTAATTGTAGCAGTCATGGAACAAACATATGATAGTTCTGAAAGGGTACTGATTTGTTGCAGCTTTTTATCCAACAACATGGCTGCTCGAATACTGGACGAACTGGCACAGCCAATACGGAAATTGTTACTTAATGAAGCTGAAATTGTTTCACTAACAGCGCTTGTTCTTCTGGATGCTGGTAATTTTTTAAATTTAAAATCCATCGTCCTAATGCTGTCGGTTATTAGAGACTTTATTATTGCTCAATGTGCCCTTTATACATGTTGTCAAGTATTTTATTATCGTAATATTTTGCGGCAGTGTTAGAACATTGTTGTTTTTCACATTATCATATTAAAAATTTGTCCATTTTTGTTAGTAACATGATTTATTGCAGATGCACCAGGTTTAAGCTTGGAAACATCGCAGACCTTAGGAACACTACGAGATCGTGTTCAGCATGTGTTATTCCAGATGATACGCGATCGTGTGAGTTCTGCGGAACAACCAATTTCTGCTGCTATATCGCGTTTTGGCAACATACTTTTGTTACTACCACCATTAGCGGTAAGGAAGTTTTTTAATAATAGTTAAAGAAAAATGAAGTGTGGCTGATGGATTTATAAAGTTAATTAAAATAGCTTTTGGTGTCGTATTATGTATTATCTGGGAACTGAAGAAACGAGAGCACATTTTAGTTTCCGATTAAATTCATTAAATATTTCGAACAAATTATAAATCATTCTAGAAAATCTCCTCGATTTTGTGCGAGAATGTGCAGTTTGCTCGAATGTTTGGCTGTCAGACCATAGATCCATTGTTGATCGAAATATTTGTGGATTCACCTGGTGAAATAATCCCATCACCAACAGCTAGAGAACGTGCCGATGTTTCCACGCAAACTTTTCTACAAGCTTCGCCACAACAGCAGACGTCATCAGCGGATGTAGATGACTTAAGTTCGGTTCATCTAACACCGCCACCAACCGCTAACTTATCAACGTTATCACCTTTATCAATACCCAATTCTGGATCAGTGATGCATGGTCGTGTGCAACAACAGCAAGTAATGTCTGGTAGTGGAACGTCACCATCACCTCATCAACCTCAGCCGCAGCGTGTTACTCCAATCATTGTACCGCCTGGACCCAATACCTCATATAATTTTTATTTCCCATACTCAGGGCAGTTCTCAGTTTCAGGCACCTATCATGCCCAACAACCACCGTCTGCTTCGGCTACTGGTACCTATGTTTCACAAGCAGGAATATTTGATACTGGTCATTCTGCTAATCCTGCTGATGTCACTAATACTTTCCGTTATCTGTAAAATTGACGAGCAACTATTCCAAGTAGAACTGATTATCTAGTGCTATGGCAGTCTACCGTTTGAATAAGTTGTTTTGAATATTAAAAATTTACTGTTTGTCTAAGCATTCAAGAATTTTGTCTTGTCTAGCTACCGCATTCATTTATTCCTGAAAAGAATTCCCCCTTTAACGAATTAGATTTAAATCACCGTTGAAGAGAAAATTTTAGATTCTAGCTTAAATACATTGTTCAAACACTGTTAATTTTTCTATCTCTGTTTTTTCCGTTGTCCTGATATATTCCGTTTCTTATAACTTCATTTCCTAGTCTGTGCTTGATGGAGAAGGGAATAGCTCTAAAAGAGGAACGCCATAAAATATGAATATGATGATTAAGGTCATGTGTTGCATTGGAATCCAGCAATCTATCAAAGTGATGGTGAATTCAGTAGGGAAATATTTGTTTTTAAATCTAACTTCTTTCCAATTTCAAAGTATCTTTTAGATTCGCTCTATTTGAAAGAAGCGTGACGGTAGATTTATCAGATTTCACAAATCCTTTTTATTTTGACAATCCTTTTTATTGAGAAGGTAATAAATAATTTATTTTGTTATCATAACACAAAATACATATGCGATACATGTCTGTTTATGCATGTCTATGATGTTCCGCACATCTTTTTTTCTTTAGTTTATTGATTGGATTTATTCTTACTGATGTTGCTTTCCATCCTTTTTCCACTCACATACATGTCTCTTGGTATATACAGGTCTGCAACTAATCCGGTGAAGATTTTTTCTCATTGTTCATGTTTATCAAGTTGTTATCATTAGTAGTTGCTATCATTATCATTACTTCGTCATATTGATACTGGTCTAGATCAAATTTTGACAGCTGGAACTAGCCGGTCTGTCCTGTACAAGTAAACGAGTGAGCAACGTTTATCTCTTTTTCCTTCTCATCTCCATTTCCGCTATTCTACCTTACAATTTTTCATGCTTACGTTTTCATATGGTATTTCGTGTAGTATTTGACTTTATGTTGTTTTAAAATTTTCCTTTCACTGATTCGCCCAATGCGTGGTTCTTTTTTTGTTTCAACAAAATATATACCTCATTTTTTTTGTCGTTTCCATTCAGTTTGTGTTAGTGAAATTGATTTACATAATTGTTGTAGACATCTAATACATTTGCCATCACTCAATTATTTGTATTTAATGTTTTTTTTCTTTTCGATTATTGTTGCCTTTAATTTTCATTTTTATATTGTTTGAAAGGGGCTTTGACGAAAATTTCCGAAATCTTCGCTTCTTAAAAAAACAAAAATTTCTGTTATGTTCTTTTTATTTTCGTATATTTCGTATAGTGTGAAATATGATGAAAGAACTGGTATTGATGTTTTTCCACACTATATCAATCGGTGAGAAGGAAAGAAAGAGAGAAAAGCCCTTTTTTCGGATACTACTTGCCGTCGTCACCTGATGCAGTTGATAATAATGATGACGATGATAAAAGGGGTGATGGTAACTGCAATCTTCTAAAAAAAGGCATTTTATTATGACACCTTATCATAGGTGGAGCAGTGGCTCATCTAGTTCAAGGAGAAGGAGAATGAATAAATTGGAGTATTAACCATTGCAAAAAAACGGCGTAGCGAGTACTCGGGAATTTCAAGCCGATTTGGACTCTTTTCCAAGCTGTATGCCGGTATCGCATGAAAGAATTTTCTTTTTTACCTCTTGTTAAGTTTCAATGAACCGTTCTCGACATCTGGAATAACCAACCAGATCTGTGAACTCGTCATATACCTACCTTTACTTGTACATGGGACCTGAATATGAATCTACAGAAGAACTTACAACGAGAAGTTCCACGTGTGCGAGTACGTCTGTCGGAATGCTTTCAATTAATACATTGCGATGTAAAATTAATAAAGAATTAATATAACACATATTAATTGCAGCAGTTAGATAACAAATATCACTGGAGTTGTAGGACAATGTGAACACGGGAAGCCCTGCAATACAAATTTTCAGAGGCATAATGTGGTTAAGGAATCTCATCAGATTGGGAAATTTCCTAGTCAGTGTTTAATTCCCTCCCTTTAGTCGGACCTAGGCCAATATCACCCATCTCTCCCCTTCCCTCCCCGAAACTGACATGATATCCTCTCCGAATTTGAAGCAAAACGTTATTTAGACACTACAAGAATTGCTGGGATCGCTGTGAAAAATTGTCGTATAAGTAAGTCATTATTCGTTGTTGTCCTGGGGATTGGTGGTTTTATTCTTTCTTAGGTCTTCTGCTAGTCTAATTTTGGGCGCTGAATCTCTCTCAGAGGTTCTTCGATACTTTCAACATAATATTTTCATTGGGATATTAGTCTTCTATTGTTAAGGAAAAGCAGAATAAGCATGAGCGATTTCGTCCAAACACATGATTTGACCAGATTTGATTCAAATATTTGCTCGGGAAATGAGGATTCACCTCCATTCTTTTGATGCTGAATAAGGTCTGCATTGGCCAATTAGGTGATTAGTGGAATTAGTATCTGAAACCTATGCTTACGTGAGGACATTACAGTGGTCGTACGGACATCATCATTAAGATCGCCGAAATGGCGGGGTCTACTTCCTTGTTATTGCTTTTGTGGGAACTGTTCAGGAATTATTGCTTGGAAGGAAGCTTAGTGAGGACTATCGAGGCTAAAATTGTGCAATGAATTTTGTTTCTTCAACTTTAAGAGAATTTTGCAGGAAAAGATCTGGTTTCCTTGAATGAGCGATAAAGATTGAATGATATGAATTCACTGCATTTACTGTTGGCCTTAACACTGTCATTTTATTACGTAGATCGGATAATTTCAACAGAATTTGAGGATCCGTATCAAGTTTTGGGTATTCCGCACAAAGCTACCATCAAGGAAATCAAACATGCTTATAAAACACTAGCTAAAGAATGGTGAAATTTTCCTCTTTTTCAGTGTAACGAGAGATTCTTTGTGCGAAATACAAATAATTCCTGAATCTGGAAAATAGTAAATAAGTGAGTCAGTGGCCTAATAGTCGATTAAAAATGACCGCCTGATATCGTACCCAAGCTATGAGTAATAGTAATATATATATATATATATATATATATATATGTTTAAAAGTGGACATTATGCGTTGAAGAATGCTTTCAGGCACCCAGACAAGAACGAGAAACCGGATTCACATGAAAAATTCATGGCCATCACACGCGCTTATGAAGTACAGTTCATTGTTCATTTTAATTATTATCTGTAAGAACATACTGTCCTGAATGTTTTCGAAAACACGTAGTTCAGAACACACGTTTATAGGCAATACGTTCACGGTTGAAATTTACGTTCGGCTTTTCAGATTCTCTCAGATCCATTGAAAAAGGAGCGCTACGATAAATTTGGATCATTTGATGATCCGCCATCTAGTCATTCATATACGCATCATCCATTTGATGATTTGGTAATTGATTGTTCATTTTCTAAGCAATGGTATTACAATTCAAGAATCATACTGCTTTTATGCTTATTTAATATATGGTGGGAACAAAATTGACTATTTTCGCCTTCTACCAAATTTATTTGGCAAACAAATGTTACACAAATGATTTTGTACTTAGTTTTTTCCCATCATTCGAGCTGTAAATAGGTGGTTAATTGAATGATTACGAGTGGTCAATTTTGAAGTGGCAATTTTTTCTCATATTTGAGCTAGCACCATTTGTACATCAGCTAATTCCGACATAGTATATAATTCGGAAAATTCTTGATATAAAATGAAGTGAATTATTATTCATAAAGCAAAATTACACACTAGGACTAATTACCAGTACTTTTTATTGAATATACAGTTATTCAATTTTGTTTCAGTTTGGCTTCGGTTTTGGTGGTTTCGATAATGGCAACTCTTTTTTCCAAAAGCACCGTGTCTCGATGCGGACATTTTCGCATACATTAATGGGACGCAGCTATTTTCAACCAATCATAATATTTGCATATTCCGGTTACTGCCAACTTTGCTTCCATTTGGAACCTATTTGGCAAAGTGTAGTGAACGATCTTGAACCACTTGGTAAGATTTCTCATTGTTCATTTAATTACTAATTTCTTCTAAAACAGTTTTTTCGTTTATATCCTTCATTGCTTCTGTCGTATTTCAGAGAGATATTCCCTTTCATATGAGTACAGAGTGATAGCAAATAGTATTGTACGCAAAGAGAGCAGCTTTTTTCGATAAGTATCATGTTTTTCTTTCGAGATTAAAGAATTCGGTTTTGCATGGAGTTATTGAAATTTCGACAGTACGTTTACAAGGTTATGTTGCAGGTTATGGCATTGGTACAGTTAATGCAATTACTGACAGTAATTTATTGGAAAAAATGCGGATCTCGCGGTTACCGTCTATTGTTGTGGTTGTCGAAGGACGAGTTATTCATTATCGAGGCTCGATGCAACGTAAAATATATTTTTTTTAAAAATTATATCTGTTTCTGTGAATCCTTTTTAAGAATAGCATTAATGGCCGTATTTGCAGCACTTTCTGCCAAGACCGTTCGTGTTTTTGCACGTGATGTGATCCCAAATACCTTCTTACTTAAAGTTACAAATCATGATGGCTTGCGACGTTTTATTGATCAGTGGCAAACTTCGAACAGGGTATGTTCCTTCTGTTCATCTGTGTTCCTTTCAACTGTAGGTCTAAACCGGAACACCGAACACTGTTTGGTGTGGAATGTTACATTTTCACATACTGAGTCCTATGTTCTAATACTTTTTCCTGGATTAGTGGAATTTTTTTTTTTTCAGCACCTGGTGAGAAGTAAAACTGCGTAATTTGTTAAATCTCACACAGTCTTTTTTCTTATCTGAAATTCATCTTTGCTTTTACAGATTTCTGTTGTAATCTTCGGGAACAAAGAGAATCCTCGAATTCGTTACATGCTTACTGCAATGAAATACGCAACTTTTGCTCGATTTGCTTATGTATACCTGAGCGATCAGAGTACTGAAATTGTAAAAATGCGACAAGCTTTAGATATTACATGTTTCAATTGTGAAAATATTCTGATTTTCAACGATTTCCCCCAAGTAAGTTGGAATTAATGGGAAAATGTTTGTCTCGTTTGACTGAATGAAATTTGGATGTGAGTTAAATTTTACGGTTTTAAATTGAATTAATTTACATTTTGAATAAAATACTGTACTATTGCAGGAAGGACCGGTTGCTCGTCTTTCAGTTAGCAGTGGTCAACAATTTCACATCGACACTATAGGAGAATTTATTGAACGAAATAAACATCTCACTCTACCAAGGGTGTTTCTCTCGTTTGAAAAAAATCTTTTTTTTAGAATTACGTTTATTAGTCTTTTTTAAGCAAATAACGGGACTACTTGGAAGGAGAATAGTAGCTAAAAATTTCAGATTTAGAGTTACTATTCTGCATTTATCTTTATGCAAATATTTTATTTTTACCGTGTATGGAAGTATTTGCAGCTTTCGAGTCAGTCTTATTTCGATGATCTTTGTCCGATCTCATCACGAAGCTCGCGAAGCTTTTGTGTTATCCTTATGGCGACAGATTCATCCAGTGATCTGTCGCAGATTGCATCATTTCGCAACTTCGTTCGCAATAGTAGAAGTGATTTCAAGAGTGAAAGATTGCAATTTGCATATGTTTATGTCACCAAACAAAAAGAATTTGTTATGACTTTCTTTGATGGGTTATCGCCAAGTGAACGATCTTCTTTGCAGGTTAGTTTTTTTACGGTAGTACTTCAAGTGAGAAAATATGCAAACCTCCGGTCTGATCTGTTAGCATTACTTATCAATTTAGATGCCTCACAAATGGTGATATGAATCGTCGATTCATCATCTATCAAAAAGGCTGCGGAGGAAATGAGTAGAATAAATATCAACCTTTTCATCTACAACTGAGGAAGAATTACATAGATTCTACTCTCTCTCAAGAGTGTGCATGTTTTGTATGAAAATTGATTTTCTTAGTATTTCGAAAACTGGTTTTGTAGGAAAATGGACACGGTTTACTGATTCTTTGGCGTTATGATCAGAAGAAAGTTCGTTTTGCTTGGTTGAAAGAACGCTGGTTAATAAAAGAGAGCATTAATGAAAGTGACCTTCAATTAGAACTGGTAGCGTACATAAAAGGAGTCACGAAATTAGATTATCAAGCAACTCTTAAACCAGTGGTATATTTTTTTTCGTTTTCATTTTGTGGACATATGATCAAAGAACCTCAGTTCAGCAGTCACTTAAATACACCAATTTATTATTAAGGTTTTTCCCAGTCACGGTTCACTGTGCTACCTCTGGAGCCAAAATTTTCCATTTATTGTTTTGTGTCTGCCCCGTAAAGTCTATTTAAACCGAGCTTTCCTTCTGGAAAATTACCGAAATATAACTAAATTTGACGGCTTTAACTCATTCTTTGTTGCAGTTAGATGAATATCGACCATCATGGTTTACTCGCATTTCACGTGCTGCCGTACGAATGTTTGAAGCTACATGGTTTAGTTTGACTAAGGAAGAAACTTTACCGTTGTTGAGTGCTGTAGGAACATTACTGATCATCTTTTTTATCGGTTATGGATTGAGTTACGCAAATGCACTAGAAGAAAAATCTCGCAATTATGTTTCACAGGTTTATTGATCATCCTTACTCGGTCATAATGTAAAATTCATAAAAAATATAACAACCATATAGCTTTCTAAAGATGGTGGAAGTTCAAAAAACAATCCCTTATTTTTTGTGTAAGTCATTTACTATGACTTCTCTGAGTGAAATTGATCAGCTTTATCTTATATTTCAGGAAATAAAAGATAACAAACAAACCGTTGATGATGATGACGATCAGTGGCATCCCGAAGATCCGAGTGTCGAGTCTGGAATTAATAATAACCGACTACGAGTACATAGAAAACAGCGAAAGTAAATTGATTTTGCCACTTTATTGTCAAAGGAAATGATTGTCTTGGTTTGCTTATGAGTTTTGAAGTGTATTTCAGCCTATTCTCTGCAAAGCTACCATTCGAATTTTTTCCAATCTAAAATTTGTTTTTCTTGTTTGGAGTTTTTTAAGATTAGTTAAGAAGTTCAAATTCTTCCCTAGAATAATGCGCGAAATGGAACCAATGATGCATGAATTGAGAGCAGAAACATATTTTGGAATGATCAGACTCCTGAAGCCTGGATGTCGATCTATTGTAGTTCTTGTTGATGAACAGTCAAAGGATATTTTGCTACCACAATTTGCCAAGCATGTTTGGCCATTTAGAAAGTATGACTTTCTTATGCACGATTTTTGTATTGCATTTGTTCGTTACTGTTCTATCATTGTGATAACATGAGTAACATGATGTCATTTTTTAGCAACAAAACATTTTCATTTGGCTATTTGATGGTGGAGAAAAACCTTTCTTGGTTCCGTAAACTTCTAGAGCATACACTACCAGCTGAAAGTGAACAAACAGGTGAAGTTTTGAAATTTTCTTGTGATCTCTTTACTGCGAATTGTATTACTGTCTTATTTTGTAATGCAAATTTTTCATTTTTTAAACATCATCGTCCTCACCATCAGTCCGTCAGCATTGTTTGGTTTGTGTTGTGTACTTGCTTTTACTGACGTTTCAAAAAATCGGTTATTCGCTCTCATCCTAAAAAAAGTGGAATAACAAGGATGGTGCGAAATTAAGCAATTACAAAATAAAACAAGCATCATAGCATTTCTGTTGTTATTTTATCTCCCAAATTGGAACTGTTAAATAATTTTATAGACGGATCATCAATGTATGAACGCTTGAAAAATATAAATCCTCGTAAAACGCTGGGAACTGTGCTTGTGCTCTGTGGTTGGAAATTATATTTCAATATGTATCATCCGATGCACACATCGCCTGGGAAAAAACATTTCCTGGGTTTTGATGATGATGGTAAAGATTGTAGCAGCGAAGATTCTGACATTAACGAAGCATCGCGCGAGGAGGTTAGAATAAAGCCAGTGTTGTGATGCAAAGCATTTTATTTCTAATTCAAATATTTTTTAGTTTAACTTCAAATGTTTTCGGTGTCTTAATGTTGTTATTCACTTTCTCAGAATGTGTGATATTGAATTGTTAACTGATTTTAGATCCAGACCCTGCGCAAAGGACAACATCTAAAATTGGAAGACGTCCTAAAAGGTCTTCCGAACTGGCTGGATCGTTTGGTAGAAGGTTCTATTAGACGATATTATGTACCTGAATGGCCTAATAATCTGCGATGATTTTCTTTTTTTATAAATATTACTCACTAAAGGATATATTTGTCATAGTTATATGAAGGATGAATTAGTTTTTTGCTTAGTTATCATTTTTGTTTCCTAAGTTTTAAAATCATTTTTTTAACGTAAAAACACTTCGGTTATTAGTATTCCAGCCTGTGATTAATGCTTCATTGTGTTAGTGTATGTAGGAATTGAATAACAAGTAGGTTCTTGGTGAACAAGATTTAATCAGCTATAGTATTTTGAACTGATACCTGCAGACTAATGCTTCAGTGAATATCAGCGGCAATGGGAAACAAAACATCAATGGAAAATTAAATGAATTAAAGAGTAAATATAATGATTACTTCTATTGAGTAGAAGGAATGCTCACTGGTCAGTAATGAATATTAACAGTTCAAAATACTATAGCTGATTAAATTTTGTTCACCAAGAACCTACTTGTTCCTAAGGCTTTAGAGAATCTCATTCGTTTAAAGAGTTTTGGTGCTTTTCGGATATCCTTATATTTACTTAGTTTGTCATACTTTCAATAAGTTGGGAAGCTTTGCATTTTGAGATGTTTATACTTCGTGGTTTTTCTTGGTTTTTTTTTTTTTTTGCTTTTATATAATCATGTATTTTATTTCCTCTTGTTACATTACTAATATGTATACATCTGACCATAGTAGCATTACCACCCTG